CTCCTCCTCCTCCTCCTCCTCCTCCTCCTCCCTTTTGTTGGTCATAGGGCCTGAACTCTGGGTCTGGGCACTGTCCCTCAGCAATTTAGCTCAAGGCTAGTACTCTACCATCTACCACTTGAGCCACAGTACCACCTCCAGCCCAGGCATAAAAATCATGAACTCTGTCTACAATTAATAATAAATAAAGCTCAAAAGGAGCTATGGTTAAAGTAATAAAATACTAGACTTGAATGAAAAGAGCTCAGGGACAGACAGCATCCAGGCCCAGAGTTAAAGTTCCAGGACCAGCACACACACAATAAAAAAGCTTACAGAGAGCCAGAACCCCCAACCTCCAAAACTCCTGAGTACACACTTGTGTGCACATACACAGCATACTCTTTCATGTATTTGACATGTGTATATATACATGTCACAAACACCAAAATGAAATCCCTTTGTACCATTAATTCTGCTAATAAAGTTTTGTTTTTTGTTTTTTGTTTTTTTGTTGGTTGTGGGGCTTGAACTCTGGGCCTGGGCACTATCCCTCAGCTCTTCAGCTCAAGTCTAGCCCTCTACCACTTGAGCCACAGCACCACTTCTGGTTTTCTGAGTGGTTTATTGGAGACAATGGTCTCACAGACTTTCTTGTCCGAGCTGGCTTTGAACCGTGATCCTCAGATCTCACCCTTCTGAGTAGCTAGGATTATAGGCCTGAGCCACTAGTGCCTGGACTAATAAAGTTTTTTTAAAAAACATATTAAAGCCGGGCACCGGTGGCTCACGCCTGTAATCCTAGCTACTCAGGAGGCTGAGATCTGAGGATCGCGGTTCAAAGCCAGCCCGGGCAGGAGAGACCGTGAGACTCCTATCTCCAATAAACCACTAGAAAATTGGAAGTGGTGCTGTAGCTCAAGTGGTAGAGCGCTCGCCTTGAGCTGAAGAGCTGAGGGACAAGCGCCCAGGCCCAGAGTTCAAAAGCCCCACAACCCCCAAAAAACAAAAAAATACAAAAACATATTAAAATTAGCTACACTTTTTTTTACCTTTTAGTGTGACTCCTAGAACATTCTAGCACATTATTTTACATAAATGGATAACAGTCGTGCCTGGATTCTCTCTGTGTGCTAGGCCATCCTTCAGGCACCTACACTGTGCCTTAACTAACTCCTTTTCTTTTCTGATACTCTCAGGAAATCACTCAGAAAATTCTGGAAGCTATAGGCAATGTTGCTGGCTCCTCCTTGGAGCAAACCAGCTGGCTCAGCAGAAACCTGGAAGTGAAGGCCCAGCCTCAGGTCACTCTAGAAGAATCTGATGCTGAGGACGACCTGTATGGTACGTATAGGAGACTTGGCAGGTCACACTTGCAGTCAGCCAGCAGTGCTGTTTCCTATAAGAAAGATCCTGTGCTTGCAACACACAAAGTCCAGTGTAGTAGTTTTTTAAAAAAGAACAAAATCTATGTGAAGATTTGGAGTTGATGGAGAAGCTAACCAACCGTGGTATAAATAGTTTAACAGTGTACACATACAGGGAAGTGTCAGGTTCCAACCTTCAGTGTATACAGTTTTGCTTGTACACAAGGGTGACCGTCACTCTCCCCAGAGCTCGGCAGGCATGCCAGGTGGGGTGGTCTGCTTGGGTTTTTATCTTAACCTAAGGGTGACACTGTCACTTCCCCGGTTGCCAAAGATTCAGGCTCATGATTTTTTTTGTTTGTTTTGGTCGGTTGTGGGGTCTGAACTCCGGGCCTGGGCTGCTGTCCCTCAGCGCTTTAGCTCAAGGCGAGTGCTCTACCACTTGAGCCACAGTGCCACTTTTTTGTTTATGTGGTGCCAAGGACTCACTTCCAGGGCCTCAGGCATGCAAGGCAAGCCCTCTACCACTAAGCCATCTTCCCAGCCCTCGCAGTTTTTTTAAATTGATTACCAGGTGATGAGGCAGTACAGTACGTTGGAAGGAACTCTGTCTGTGAAAGGTTCCTACTGGCCGAGGGGGAAGATTTAGGCGTTCAGGATTCTGGGCGTTCAGAGCTGGAGGTGGGGGTTGTGGGAACGATGACAGGGGGTGACGAGACAGTTGGTAGCTGAGCCCGAGCAGAGTGGGAGATGATTGGAAGAAGAGACTGCAAAAGATTGAAAGCCCAGGATGCTAGCTAGGTGAATCCCAAGAGGATTCTGAGGCTCCAAGAGTGGACACGAAGGGGCACAGAGTGTTGGTATGACGTTATTTGCCAAATGTCCACGTTCTCAGTTGCTGAAATTGAATGTCACCAGGGAAGAATAGCTGAGTCCCATATCCATGGTCAGAACGGCAGGTAGGAGCTCCTGCAGGGCTTTGGCGACCCAAAGTCAAGAGGGCTGTCCCCGCTAAGCCAACACCCCTTTGTAGCCACAGATGCTGCCGCAGCTTCAGCAATGGTGTCCGCATCTGCTCCCTCTGTGTACAGCGTGCAAGCCCTCTCTCTCCTGGCAGAGGTAAACACACACCTCACTGTGGGCCCATGGGGGAGTGGCTTGTCATCCTGCATCATAGGGAAAGCTTGTGTGAGCTGGGGCTGGGGAGTGATGGACAAGCACAGAAAGAGGCAGGGCCCTGGTCCCACGACCCTTGTCAGCAACCTGACTCCCTTCCATAGGCCTCTCTTGCAGTTTCCACCACTTCCCAATTCCGCCACAGGCTGGCATTGCAGCCGTCAACACGTGGACCTTTTGGGAAACATTCTACACCCAAACAGGCCTCAAGTGCCCCATGACTTTGACCCTTAGGTTTTACTTGGGGAAAAGGACTTGTCTTTGTTCCTTGTGTCAGTGGTTTCTGATCTTGTCCTGGCCTCCTTCTTGCAGGTTCTGGCTTCTCTCCTGGACATGGTTTACCGCAGTGATGAGAAGGAGAAAGCGCTGCCTTTAATCTCGCGCTTGCTTTACTACGTCTTCCCTTACTTGCGCAACCACAGGTGGTGATGTTTCTCTGTTTCATCCTACACAATTGCAGAAAAATGTATGAGTTTTTTGGTTCTGATTCTGTGCCACTACTGAAGCTTGGAATCAGGACCTAGGTATTGTCCCTGAACTTTTTCACTCAAAACCGGTGCTCTACCGCTTGAGCCACAGTTCCACTTCCAGCTTTTTGGTGATTAATTGGAGATTGAATTCTCATGAACTTTCCTGCCTAGGCTGGCTTCAAACTGCAGTCCTCAGATCTCAGCCTCATGAGTAGTTAGGATTGCAGGCGTGGGCCATAGGCATCTGGTGAAAAATGTGTTGCACTGTCTTTAACCTTGACTGTGTTCTCTTTCCACAGTGCCTACAACGCCCCTAGCTTCCGGGCCAGCGCCCAGCTGCTGAGCTCCCTGAGTGGCTATGCCTACACAAAACGTGCCTGGAAGAAAGAAGCGTTGGAATTGTTTTTGGACCCTACTTTCTTTCAAATGGATACCTCCTGTGTTTAGTAAGAACTGCTGTCCTGATAAAATGTGCTGCTCTTTTTTTTTTTGTCATGAAACTTGAACTCAGGGCCTGGGCACTGTCCCTTAACTCTTTTGCTTAAGGCTAGAGGCTCTACCATTTTGCACCACAGCTTCACTTCCAGTTTTCTGGAGGTAAGAGTTTCACAGACTTTCCTGCCCAGGCTGGCTTTGAACCTAGGCTCTCAGATCTCAGCCTCTTGAATAGCACATTACAGGCCACCAGTCACCAGCAGAGGGTCTAAGCAATGTGCCTTGTCCTTACAGCTGTCCGGGTGCCTTGCTGGTAGGAGGGGCTTCCCACCCAGCTCTGAAAAGCCTAGAGGTGAGAGAGGCCACTCAGTGATTACAGGTGTCACCTTTGTTATTATCTCCCTAAATGGTTTGATCTGCTTAACCTTTACTGTTTCCCTGAAGGTTAACCCCTGAGCTACTTTCCTATAAAAGATCTGCTTGGGTTGAAAGTTGAGCCCCACCCTAAACGTGTTTTTTGTGTTTAAAAGCTTTATTCAGCTAAGAAGCCAGTGGCTCATGCCTGTGATTCTGTCTAGTTCAAAGCCAACTATGGCAGAGTAGTCTGTGAGACTTTTTTTTTTTTTGTCAGTCGTGGGGTTTGAACTCTGGGCCTGGGTGCTGTCCCTCAGCTCTTCAGCTCAAGGTGAGCGCTCTACCACTTGAGCCACAGCGCCACTTTCAGTTTTCTAGTGGTTTATTGGAGATAGGAGTCTCACAGTCTTTCCTGCCTGGGCTGGCTTTGAACCAGGATCCTTAGATCTCAGCTTTCTGAGTAGCTAGGATTACAGGCGTGAGCCACTGGCACCCGGCTTGTGAGACTCTTAACTCCAATTAACCACCAGAAAACCAGAAGGGTGCTGTGGCTCATGTTGTCAAATGCTAGCCTTGAGCTGAAGAGCTCAAGGACGGCACCCAGGCCCAGACTTCAAGCCCCACAACCAACAACAACAAAAAAAAGCTTTGCCGTGTCCTGTTGGCTCATGCCTGTAATTCTAGCTACTCAGGAGACTGAGGTCTGAGGATTACGGTTCAAAGCCAGCCTGGACAGGAAGGTCATGAGATTTTTATCTCCAATAAACCACTCAGAAAACCGGAAGTGGGAAGCGGTACTGTAGCTCAAGTGGTAGAGCACTCACCTTGGCTGCAGAGCTGAGGGGACAGCATCCAGGCCCAGAGTTCAAGCCCCATGACCAACAATTGAAAAAAAAAAAAAGTTTTATTCAAACTGGATTAGGCCCTGGCTCTTCAATAAAGACTCCCATCCCAGTGGAGCTGTGGCTCAAGTGGTAGAGCGCTCGCCTGAGCTGAAGAGCTCAGGAACAGTGCCCAGGCCTAGAGTTTAAGTCCCATGATCAACAAGGAAAAAAGAAAAAGAAAATACAATCAACATGCAATCACAAAGATAATTCAGATGTTGGATTATCTGTCAACTGTTTGGGCTGGGAAGGTGGCTCAGTGGTAGAGTGCTTGTCTTGCATGCATGAGGCCTTGGGTTCGATTCCTCAGCACCACATAAGCAGAAAAGGCCTGAAATGGTGGTGTGGCTCTAGTGGCAGAGCACTCTCCTTGAGCTGAAGAGCTCGGGACAGCTCCCAGGCCTAGAGTTCAGGCCCCATGACCAGCAAAAAAAGAAAAAAAGACTCCCATCCCAATGCGACCTTTTAAAAAATGTATGTTCTTCATTTTCTTAGTGTTTAAGTTTTACATAATTTTTGTTGTTGTTGTTGTTGTTGTTGGTTGTGGGGTTTGAACTCTGGGCCTGGGCACTGTCCCTCAGCTCTTCAGCTCAAGACTGACTAGTGGTCTACCACTTGAGCCACAGCACCACCTCCTGCTTTTTCTGTTTATGTGGTGTTGAGGAATCAAACCCAGGGCCTCATGCATGGAAGGCAAGCACTCTACCACTGAGCCACCTTCCCAACCCCCATAATTCATTTTTGTTGCTGCAGTAGAACCAAACCAATACCATCCTTTCCTCCCAGGTACTCGCAGATCCCTGTGCCAGGCTCCTGCGGCAGCCTTGAGTTCACTTTCAAATGCAAAGGCACCTTTTCTCCAAAGCATCATCTCAGTAAATTAAGAGAGCAAATTATTCCTAAGAGAATGTGGTCTAGGGACATTTGGACTTGCACTGCTTTATCATGTACTATTTGACCAGTGTTGAGATGGCAGAGCCCTTGGGTCACCGTGGAGGTACCTTGGGTACTCAGTTCATATACCCCAAGCCCATACCCAGATAAGCTTCCTGTGCCCTCTGGAGATGGGGAGGTCCACTCAGGACCTCTCCTTGCCAGCTTGCTCAAGACACGGAAGGCACAGGGCTGGATGGCGGAGGGATAGCCTTTCTGTACAGCCTAAAAGTTTGTTCTGTAACAGAAGGCTGCTTTGGCCCTTGTCTAGCAGCCATGTGCTGGGGGCCTCTCTCTGCACTTGGACATCAGTGCACAGAGGGGTCCGTGCTCGAGCTCGTCAATAAACGACTCATTGCCGCTTGCATTGATCTTTGGTCCCTGGTGGTCTTTTTGAGCACTTCAAGTCTCTGGGCATTACACCATGAGCTTCTGTCCCTAAGTCCTTGCAGATACAAAAACCCACAGATGGGGCTGGAAAGGTGGCTCAGTGGTAGAGAGCTTGCCTTGCATGCCTGAGGCTCTGGGTTCGATTCCTCAGCACCACATAAGCAGAAAAAGCCGGAAGTGGTGCTGTGGCTCAAGTGGTAGAGCTCTAGCCTTGAGCTAAAGAGCTGAGGGACAGCGGCCAGGCCCAGAGTTCAGGCCCCACAACTGGACCCCCACCCCCCAAAAAAAGGAAAGAAAAAAAACCCCACAGATGCCCAAGTCCCTTGTATCAGAATGGTACAGTATTTGCCTATAATGATATATACTACATTATACTTGAAATCCTCTTCTGATTACTTAGACTACCAAACAAAATATGAATAGTCATTATGCTGTATTGTTTTTGGGGGGGGTCCAGTCATGGGGCCTGAACTCTGGGCCTGGAAGCTGTCCCTTAGCTCTTCAGCTCAAGGCTAGCACTCTACCACTTGAGCCACTGCGCCACTTCTGGCTTTTTTCTTTTTGCTTATGTGGTGCTGAGGAATTGAACCCAGGGCCTCATGAATGCAAGGCAAGCACTGTACCACTGAGCCACCTTCCCAGCCCTATGCTGTATTTTTTTTTTTTTTTGGTCGGTCGTGGGGCCTGAACTAGCGCTGTCCCTCTGCTCTTCAGCTCAAGGCTAGCACTCTACCACTTGAGCCACTATGCTATATTTTTTTTAAGGGAATAATGATAAGGAAAAAATGTCTATGCCACCTGGGCACTGGTGGCTCAGATCTGAAGATTGTATTTCAAAGCCAGCCTCGACAGGAAAGTCTGTGAGACTCTTGTCTCCAAGTAACCACCAGAAAGTGGGAAGTGGTGCTGTGGCTCAAAGTGGTAGCTCACTAGCCTTGAGCAAAAGAGCTCAGGGATAATAATCAGACTCTGAGTTCAAGCACCATGACCAACATGCCCTGTTCAATACAGATACAATTTTTTTTCTGAGTATTTTCCATGCATGATTAAGTGTGCGAATGTAAAACCCAGGGATCCTGGCCTTATTGTCGCTTCCCAAACTAGCTTCCCTTACTATAAGCTAAGGAGGAATGGATATTTGCCCATACAACCCCTTCCATCAACAAACAGTAAAGTTATGCGACCAAATGGAAGGACACCCTTGAAAAAGCCAGGGTCCCTTGCCAGTTGTTTTTTCTTTATATTAAGAAAGGTCACTATTTATTCATTATGTTAGGATTTGCTTGGCCTTTCCTAATGTTTTAGAAATGAACTGTTAATTTGTACCACTAATCCTGTTTCATAGAACAGATTTTAACATTTTAAAGCAGCATTTAATCAGATTGTTATCCATGACATCTTTAACTAATTTTGCTTTTCTTCATATCCAGTTGGAAGTCCATTATTGACCATCTTCTGACTCATGAGAAAACAATGTTTAAGGACTTAATGAGTAAGTTTTGTGTTACTTTTCACACTTTTAAGGACCAGTGCCATTTTAGCCAGCTTTTACCCTACCTAGCATTTTTGCGGTGCTAAGATGTAGTGTGTTGGGTAGAACACATCAGGGCTAAATGAACAGGTCTTCCTACTTGCCACCTGACCAAGAGACCACCACAGCCTGTCTTTAGAGTTTCATGGTAGGTCCATGTTGCAGAAAGCAGCCGGGTTCCCATCCTGATATTTGTTTTAGAAATAATGTTTTCCCTGTGTGTGTGTTTGTGTGTGTGTATACACGCATGTGCACGTGTGTGGGGGCCTCTTGAGACAGGGTTTTACTGTGAAACTCAGGTTTGCTTTGAATTCTGTTCCTCTTACTTCCAGAGTGCTAGGATTTCAGGCATATGCCACCATGTCTAGTTTAGGAGTATCTTTCTACACCTGAGATCCTCTTTTAATGCCTTATCATTATATATTAATGAAATAAACATTTTTAAATGCACAAGGAAATAATCACATGTTCTCATTACTGGAGAGAGCATTTTTTTGTTTGTTTTGGCTAGGAAGCTATGGCTTAGCACTCATCTCTGGTTGTAGCTTCCTGCTTGCATGCTTGCTTGCTGTTTGTTTCAGGTATGCAGAGCAGTTCTTTAAAACTATTCTCCAGTTTTGAGCAAAAGGCCATGCTGCTGAAGCGCCAGGCTTTTGCTGTCTTCAGTGGCGAGCTGGATCAGTACCACCTATACCTTCCCCTGATACAAGGTAAGTCACGAGCTTGGCCTGCGCTGTGCTGCTAGGCATGGTGATCCACAACCAACAGGAAAGATCCGTCTCTGGTGGTGGGAGCTGGAAGCACAGTGTCTGACAAGGGTCTCCAAGGCTTTCCTGTTACCTGTCCTGCCTCATCCTATGGCAGAAAGCCTAGATCAAGACAGCACCATGAGCCAGATTCACCTTTTTGTTACACCACTGACTCATTTGTGAGGGCCTAATCAAGTCCTAAAGGCCTAAAAGGTGTGGGAGGATGCGTTTTGGAGGGAGTTAACAAGAAGAGCCGTGGTCATCATCCCTTCCCTGCCTCACTCCCCAAAGACAGACCCCCAGGTGGGTGGGTGGCAGGCAGCTCCAAGAGGGCCACACGAATTTCCAGCAGCCCAGCAGCGGTCAGGGGTCACAATGAGCCAGCCCTCTACAGAAATATAATGGAACCTTAGGCATGTATCAGCAAATCTGAAACTTCAATATAGATACTCACCCCTCCCCGCCTTTTTTAAAAAATTAAATCTGTTCTGATTGTCCCTTTTTCCTCTCATCTACTTTCTGCTGTTGAGCTCACCCAGTTCTTTTCATTCCTATGATTCTATTTTCTTCATTATAAAATTTCCATTTGCCTTGTCTATTTACTTTTTGTTATTGTTGTTGTTGTTGCTGCGAGTTATTTCTGTTTTTTTTGTACTGTTTATCTTCTTAGTTTTTTCGTGTTTTAGAGTAAGATCTACATTGCCTATGCTGGCCTCTAACTCTTACTCCTCCTGTCTGTCAAGCACCAGTAGTGTAGGCATGCACCCCCACACTTCAGTCCTATCACTTTGTTTGTTTGTTGTGGGGCTTGAACTCAGGGCCTGGGCACTGTTCCTGAGCCTCTTTGTGCTCAAAGGTAGGGCTCTACCACTTGAGCCCCAGTGCCACTTCCAGTTTCTTGTTTTTGTTCTGTCAGTCATGGGGCTTGAACTCTGGGCACTGTCCTTGCGCTCTTCAGCTCAAGGCAAGTACTCTACCGCTTGAGCCACAGCACCACTTCTGGTTTTCTAGTGGTTTATTGGAGATAAGAGTCTCATGGACTTTTCCTGCCCAAGCTGGCTTTGAATGGTGATCCTCAGATCTCAGCCTCCGAGTAGCTAGGATTACAGGTGTGAGTCACCAGGGCTCAGCTTGCCACTTCCAGTTTTAAAGTGGTTAATTGGAGATAAGAGTCTCCTGGAGACTTTCCTGCCTGGACTGGCTTCAGATCTCAGCCTTCTTAGTAGCTAGGATTGTAGGTGTGTCATCTTTAGGGAAGAACTAATAACCCTAAATCATATCTTAGTTAATATCACTGTTTTCTCCAGCAATGTGTTACATCCCTAAAATAACCTTTAAAATCCTCATGCACCTGATAGGTTCTGGTTTTCTGAAACCATATAGAAATGACGCCAGGAATCAAGGGAACTTGAGTGAGGAAAGTGTATTGCAAAGCAGAAATAATGGCTGCTTGGGAGAACAGAAAGCAAGCAGCAAGCCAGAAACAGGTTGTATGTTTCAGATGCTCAGGGGAGCTCCTTTTATTCCCTCCGTCCTAGCTTTGAGTTTGCCCCCAAGACCTATTGGTCCATTTGAATTAGGGGCAGAGCGCAGACAGAGGACTGGGTAGGTTTCCAGGAAGTCCAATTGGACTCTAGGGCGATGTCCCACCCCCACTGTTGAAAGACCCTTGAACAAAGACTGTGATTGTTCTCCATTCATCCCATCCTGAAATCAGTTGGGAGAAGTGAAAGAGTGTTGGGGTTTGATAATTGTCCTTTTAATTTTCTTTCCTTATGGCAAAAAAAGTTTGTGGCATGGTCATCAACTCTGTTTTACTCATTGCTTCACTTCCTACTTGCTACTTATTCCCTAAGTATGTTTGCCAGGCAATCTACGTGCTGGTCTAAGCCCATCACTCTGACTATGGCTGTCTTTAGTTTTTTGGTTGTTTTTTTTTTTAATTGGTGGGGCTTGAACTCTGAGCCTGGACACTGTCTCTGAGCTCTTCAGCTCAAGGCCAGCACTCTACTACTTGAGTCACAGCACCACTTCTGGTTTTCTGGTGATTTACTGGAGATGAGTCTCCTGGACTTACCTGTCTGGGGTGGCTTTGAATCGTAATTCTCTTGAGTAGCTCGGATTTCAGGCATGAGCCCCTGGCGACCAGCTGTCTCTGCTTTCTGAGTCTAGAATTCTTATTCATAGAAAGACATGGCAACCCAGTAGGTTCCTAGTAGTCATAGGTAACCCAGCAGGTTTCTAGTCGGTGTCCCATGCTTTGTTCCCAGCCATCCTGGGAAGATGACAGTCACCAGAGTCCACCTTCAGTGCAAGGGCCTCGAGGTTACTTGACACCCGGGGGTAGCGATCCCAGCATATGTCCTCCAGCACTGGTCTCTTATCCTGGGTTGTCATCAGGATGCCAAAGCAGTTGCAATTTTGTTTTTCTTCTTTGACTAATGAGAAACCCCAAAGGTAATGTTTGTTTCACATCTCTACAATCTTTTTTCCTTAGAACGCCTGACAGACAATCTCAGAGTGGGACAGACATCCACAGTTGCTGCTCAGATGTTTCTTTTTTTCAGAGTTTTGCTGCTAAGAATTTCTCCTCAACATCTGACCTCACTCTGGCCCATAATGGTCTCTGAGCTGGTGAGTACTCATTTTACTTTTGAGAGCAAGGTCTGAGCTTGGCAAAATGATGTTTTTTTTTCATTATCGGATAAGATACGGCTCTATAAGCATCAGTTTTCTCTAAAAGTTGTGTTTAATCAGGTTGGAGGCACCCAGTCAGCTTTTAGTTAAATAGAGGATAATCTATTCTATAATCATATTTGACCTCTCAATCTTTATTGGTGTAGTCCAACAATTCCAACTTATTTGTACCACTTACTAGTCTGTGCTAGCTTTGTTGTTATTGCTGTTGATTTAAGTGCTGGGTTGGAGCCCAGGGCTTCCCTTCATGCTAGGCCAGCACTTTACCCCTGAGCTAACTCCTCAGCCATGCTAGTTTCTTATCGAAAGTTGGATAATTCTAAAGCTGGGTGCCAGTGTCTCACTCTGGTAATCCTAGCTACACAGGAGACTGAAATCTGAGAATCACGGTTTAATGCAGGAAAGTCCAGGAGACTCCAATCAACTATCAAAAAAGCCAGAGGTGGAACTGTGGCTCAAGTGGTAGGGCACCAACCTTGAGCAAAAGAAGCTCAGGGACTGTGCCCAGACAGAGTTCAAGTCCCAGGATTGGCGCGCGCACACACACACACACACACACACACGCACGCACACACACACACAGACACACACACGCACGCACGCGCGCGCGCACACACACACACACACACTAGGTAAATTTAATCTCTTCAGATGGTAACTTGAATACGCCTTTTTCTTTTAAGATTCAGACATTCCTACAGCTTGAAGATTATCTTAAAGAGGAAGATGAGTCTTTGAGGTAAGAGAGATGTGTCAAGACAGGGGACATCACTATGGGATGTAGGGCCATCGAATGCCAGCATTCTCCTTGGAGTCTCAGGAGGTCCTAGCTATTCTAAAAAAAAGTCTTCATAGAAAATGGCTGGCCAGCAGTGCCTCATGCCTATAATCCTAGTCACTCAAACCAGCCCCGCAGGAAAGTCTGTGAGACTCTTATGTGTATTAAACTACTCTGAAAAAGCTGGAAGTGGTACGTGGCTCAAGTGATAGAGCACTAGCCTTGAGCAAAAGAAGCTCAAGGACAGAGCCCAGGTCTAGAGCTGAAGCCTGAGGGATAGCAAAGAAAAAAAAGGAAGGAGGGGAGGGAGGGGAGGAGGGAAAACTCCAGCTTGCAAAATTTGATAAGCAAGTGGACTGCACTAAATTAAACTAACAAAAATTTTCCTTTCAAATTTACAGAAACAGCAACAAAATGAACAGAATAAAAGTTGCAGGCACTGATGGGAATGGGCCTTTGGTGAGGGAAGTGGCCCCTAGTGACCTCATCTTGTATGTATCAGCGTGCAAATTCCTGGACACTGCGCTTTCTTTTCCCCCTGACAAGATGCCGTTATTTCAGATGTAAGTCGGAAAGGCCAGGAGTGGCCTCATGTTCCAGCTGGAGGGTCTCCTCCCTCACAGCCTTCCCTTAAGCAGTTACCACGTCTGGAGGCCTGTGAACTCCGCTCAGGAGCTGTGGTTTCAGATTACTCCTCACATTTGTGGTTTCCAAATTGGTTTTTAATTGTATTGTGTGTGTCACTGTGGAGTGTCTCTGTCTTTCTAGGGAGTTTTTGCTACTGAATGCTTATCAAACAGGGCCACCCCCTGAGGGCCCTCGCTGCATTTGCATAGAATGTGCTGTGTGTCTGTGGTTGGATGCTGATGCTTTTATTAGCGTGTGTCTCCAACTCACCTGCCCTTTGGCACACAGTCCCTGCAAGGCTTCTCACAGCGTCCTGGGTTTCTTTTCAGGCCTGGCCCCAGAGGCTGCCCCTCTCTGTCCTTGGCCCCCAAAGGGTGGGTCATGTAGAATCATTTGTAGTTAAAACATTTATGGGATACCTTAAATGTCTATTTTTAAGTGAAAAAAACATACACTGTATTATTTCATGAATGTGACAGTCTGGAAGATGACAAAACTGTAAGAACAGAGCCTGATGCTGATGGCTCATGCCAGTAATCCTAGCTACTATACCAGCTGAGATAAGAGGATCACAGTTCAAAGCCAGTCTGGGCAGAAAAATCAGAAAGACTGCATCTTCAGTTCACCAGTAAGAGGGCCAGACTGTGGCTCAAGTGGTAGAGCACCAGCTGCTAACTACCAGCTGCTAACAAGGTCGTTACGCAAGAGTGAGGCTCTGAGCTTTAAGCCCTGGTAGTGGTGCAAGGAAAAAAAAAAAGGAAAAACAATAAAGGAACAGTTAAAAGAGGAGTGCATGTGAAGATAGGGAGTGAGGGGGCTAGAACCGGGTTTTTACTGTGATGACACCACTCTCCGACACTGTGCCACAGTGATACGCATGTGTCAGAACTCAGACAGTGGCAAGCACAGTGACTCACACCTGCTATCCTAGCTACTGAGGAGGCTGAAATTGGGAGGATCATGGTTTGAGACAAAAGGTTCAAAGGACCTTAACAGAAAAAAATTAGGCATGATGGTATATGTCTGTCATTTACACTACAGTGGGAACACAACTAGGCATTTCCAGTCCAGGTTGACCTGTGTAAAAAGTAAAGACCCTGGGGCTGGGAAGGTGGCTCAGTGGTAGAGCGCTTGCCTTGCATGCATGAGGCCCTGGGTTCCATTCCTCAGCACCACATAAGCAAAAAGAAAA